GCTTGGCCATGGAGTCCACTCCTGCTTGGGGAAGCAAGGCTGTGTGAAATTTAATGGACTATTGGAAAATAAAACTTTCATTCTTTTCTACCTTACCCGAAATAAGATGATTTCAGTTCTTTTATGCGATCGAGCTTAACCCCGGTGGAAGAAGCCAAAGCGAAATCAGTCTCATTATCACTTGCATTTTTTTATTTTTTGCAATCGCTGCATTTAATTATGCAAATTTGGCAGCAATGCATACTTGGTCAACAACATATCTCTTTCTTTATATATATATAAATTTAAATTTAAATATAAATATATAAATATATAAATATAAAAAATATAAAAATATATAAAAATATATATATTTATATTTATATATTAGTGGTCACGAGAGCCTACTCACTTACGAAAATAGTAATGTCCTTGATTGCAATCAAATATCAGTTTGCTTCCTCGGCAATTCCACCAAAGAACGTGATATGGGAAAAGGCTTAGACTTCCTTGAAATTCACATCTGCCCTGTGATCAATGGGTACTCGTGGCAATATGACTGAGTGGTTAACGTGTAAATCTCGTATGCTGTACTGTCACGGTTCCACTCCCGCTGAGGGTGTTGACAAGAACGATGCGAGGTTGAAACTGCAGTCCACTGGTGCCTGGATGAGAACAACTTTTGGGAAAGCAAGACTCTGTGAAATTGAATGGAAGCATCAGCTCTACTCATAGCATTGTATGAAATTTCTACTACCAGTCTTTCATCACCTTAAATGCAATTGGGTGAATACAACTCACAAAGTGAATGTTTTCTTGTCAAGGCGCCGAACCGTTTGAGCAAATGGGCTTAGTTGAAAGGTGAAAGGCCATCAATTAGTAACACTTAAAGGAATTCAGGCTACGAAACCATGAGATGCTATAAAATGTCATTATAAAGTAGTCTAACTCTTGCGGTTCGTTGGGTGAAGAAGTTTTTCCACTTATTAAATAATTGTTTTAAAGCATTTTCTAAAAAGTGACTAACTCTACCATGGGTTTATTATACTTAAGTATCATCAATCCGAGAAAGGATGTTATAATTTTTGGCAGAATTTTTAAAAATAGGGCTAGATGTTAACATATCATCATAAAACTTTGACCTACAAAGGAAGTCAGCAATGAACTATTACTATGTAATCTAAATATAATATTTGTATACCATTTGGAATAATTGATGTATTCAAGGAAAGCCATCATTAAAAACTTTTATCATAATTCATCCTTTCAATTTATATAAAATTAATTTAAAAAATAAAATTTTTTTTTATTGTGTTAACAAATATAAATAATAAATATAAAGAATATGTCATGCCTATTGAAGGAATAACTCATTATAAGCTCATTTACATGTATGGCTTTGTAGTTATGTCTAGTCTGATTTTGTTGAGCTTACTTACATTTCGAGTGAAAGTTTTGGGTGAAGAGATTCGAAGGTCGGTTCCACCTGAAGCCGACTGCGGATTCCTCTTGACAAACTGTCGATTGGCTTTACTGTTTCCGAGGCAATCTCCTTCGATTCCGGTGAAAAGGTGCTAAGCTTTCGTCCGTCATGTGACGGACATCATCAAAGCGAAATTCAAGCTAACGAGCCAAGAAAACTCCCCGGTAAATCCCTAAAAAGTGGTATATATATACTCTACACCTGGCCTCTTTGATCAAGTATAAAGTGATTTGGTTAGTTAAGGTCAAATGTCAACTTCGATGCCTGTGAGTGTGCCTGTCTCTGTATGTGTATGTGCCTGTTTGTGTTCGCTTATGCACGAAACCCGCAGTGATGGCTAAAAATTATTATTGGCCATCAAGGATTGATGACCCCTACCTCCCCCTTTCTACATATATGTTATAACCATGTGTGAAATTCACTGGAAATGTAAGGTCAAGTTATATGATTTTGGTAAATTTCAACTTACAATCTTCGCATAACATTAAACGAAATTTGTTTAATAAGCCTCATATAAGCCCACATTAATACCGACTTAAGGGGAGGTGGGAACTGAGTCGAGTTTGTGTCATAATAGGCCAATAGACTCCCGCTTGTTGGACGTAATTTCTCTGAAGACGCATCTTCTGGATATTCAGAAATGTTCTATTCGTTGAGCAGCTTCGCCCAAAAGAGTAATTTGGGAAGGATTGGAGCAAGGTTCTGACAATTTGCCTCTATCGAAGACCTCGGAGAGGGCACGAATGTCTGTGGCTGCTTGTGTGCGCCAGGCACGAGCAGACCTAGCGTGTAACTTAAAGGGTTCCGACATCCGGGGACTTTACTTGGTATCTGTTTGAAACGATAGGCCTCGGAATTGGCAGAAGAGAAGGGCGCCGAGATTGCGGAGCTCGGTGCTGAGGCGTCACTGGAATTGGCCGGCCAACCAGGTCTTGCAGAGGAGGGAATTCTCCACCATCTCGTACATCCGAGATGGGAACTCCCAAGGACGCAACAGGATTACTTAGAACTGGCCTGCCTTGGCTGGGGTCGTGAGGGTTTGAATCAAGCTACCGACGAATTGGGCATAAAACGTGGTGCAGACCAGAAAACACTCCTTCAAACTCATAAAAATGAGGAAGACCTTCAAGCGTCCATGCATTCCTATGCACAATAAGTAACAGAAAATCCAGCGTTTTTATTTATTCACATTCCATTTTGCTGCTAAACGTGTATGCATGCTGGCTAGAGTCTCGCAAGTATTTCGGCCGGGATGCTTCCATCCTTACCTTTTCATCTTAACCAACGACCGAGTGTGATTACGTGAGATGTAGCAACCTTTCAAGAGCACTAGCAAAATACATATTTGTTCGAAAATTTC